CACAAAAATATTTCCTATGGACTTTCCTTTACAGTTTCTCATCTTCCTTATAAAATAACATCAAATAACTGGACTGAACAAAGCTAGGAAAGAAAGATAAGAAATGAAAATGAAATTTCTGAAAATATAAAGGAAAGCGCAAAGACAAATCTATGGATGAAGTAAGTCTTAAGTATCTTGACAAATTTGTAGCATTATACTTCAGTGGGTCATGCAGCAAATGGAAAGTTATTTATATTTATGGTCATTATGTTAAGAGAATGTCTGGTAAGGACTGACATAAAGGTACAAAATGGATTTATCAACCTGAAACTAAGATTTGTATCATCAACCATTGCCAGGTCCCTGGAAATTTACCAGCCTCAGATCATCTTAATTTTTGACACTCAAGGAAGAAAATAACTATCATCAGACAATTTTTATTATTACACCTGTATCACAATTCATGGAAAACATGGATTCGTTTTACTTTCGTTCTAATCAGCCAATGTGCACTAGTATGGCTACACTGATGGCTTATAGCCCGCATTTGTTCTGTCAGTGCCGATGGGGTTCCAATTATTAAATATTTTAACTATCATCTCTGGTTCTAGCATCACATATTCATGAATCCGGTGGCCTGATCAATACTTCTAGGTGAACTAAGGACCAAGCCTGTGAAAATGCATGGAGAATCTGGAAGTGAGCATTCTCATGACACTTGAACATGTCCATGCCAGAGTTATCAAGCCACTGGTTGATTTTGGTGGCCTCAACCAAACAGATGTGGTTCTGAAAGAAGTAGTCTTAAGTACTGAAGGAAGTACTCTTTCTTAAGTGTTGGTCAGAATAAGAGAACTGTCAAATCGAGAGATCTTTAGTCAAATCTCCTGTCCACAGCAGAAATCCCTTCCACAACAGGTGAATCCAGTAAGCCTTTGCTTGAACATTGCCAGTGACAGAAGTTCTTTTTCTTGGAATATCTCATTTCATTTTGAACATAGGTCTGGTCCTCTCAGATTAGTATTTGGCTCCTTCTCTTCTAGTTCCTTAACGAAGCAATTTTCAAAACCCAGCCTTCTCCCTTTTTTATGCTTTTCTTTCACTCTTGAAGTTCAAGGTTTACATCACAGTTATCTTTGGGCATGATATCTCTTCACTTCTTTAGTCCTGCATTCCTAACTACCTCTGTGATATAGGTATTAACATTTGAAAAGACCTAACATTCAATATCCTTCAATTTCTTTAAACAACCTTCCCAATGTATATGCTATTGTTGTTGTGTATTTTCTTTTTAAAAAAACTAAAAAATATATTGTTTTTTTAAACAATGTGTATGTTGTGACTTACCCACTTTGTATTGTCATCATTCTTTTTTTTTTCTTTTGGATTTTAATAATTATAGCTATTTTAGAACTTCCTTTAGAGAGGAATTCTTTCTATAAAGGGTCTAGTCATGGCAATTCTTTGCTTTTGTTGTCTGGAAATATCTTAATTAATGCCCTCTTTCTTGGAAAAAATTTTTTTGCTAGACATGGAATTCTAGATTAATAGTTATTTTCTTTCAGAGCAGTTAGGTATCATTCTGTCTCTGGCATCCTCTGTTGCTATTGAGAAATCAGTTGATAGTCTCCTTTAAAGATGATTTCCTTTTTTTCTGACTGCTTTTAAGTTCTCTGGCAGACACAGATCTTTTAAGGGGTGTGTCTATAAATATACATTTTAAAAATCCTGCTGGGCATTTGTTGGGCTTCTTTAAACATAAATCTACTTTATATTCTTTCTTCTTCTAGTATTCCAATAAGAAGACTTTCTCTATCCACCATTTCCCCTAAACTCTTTCAGCCTGTCCCTATATGCTGCTATGCCAAACAATTTCTTCAGTTCTATCTCCCAATTCACTGATTCACTAATAATTATTTTTTATATTTTCCTAAATATAATCTCCTATATTGAATCCATCAACAAATTCTGTGGATGGGTATCGCCTTTAAATCTCTCATTTACTCCTGAATACTTGACTCTAATGCTATAAGCCTACTTTGGGGTCTCATCTGTTTTGGTTCAGTAGTTGATGTCAACCTATGAACCAGAAGGTCATGGTTCAATTCCCAGACAAGGTAGATGCCTGGGTTGTGGCTTGATCCCTGGCGTGGAGTGTGCAGGAGGCCGATCAATGACTCTTTCTCATCGTTGATGTTTCTATTTCTCTTTCTCTCTCCCTCTCCCTTCCTCTCTGAAACCAGTAAAAATATATATAAAACAAAAAACAAAAAAACTCCTGCCTCTTGGTATTCAATATTTATTGATTTTTGTAAGAAACCAGATGTTATAAAATCAGACATAATAATGTCTTACATTTAACTGGTTATCTTAGCTTCATTGAAAATGAAACTCAGAATCTTAAATGTCATTAACTTTATTCAATTAAGTAAATTTTTAGGAAATCCCCTCATGAGCAATTCTGCATCAGCTTACCAAGAAAGAGAAACATTAGCTCCTCTGAATATATTCTCACTCTCTGAATTTCTAATCAAACTGTAAAAAACCATCCTTTAGGATAAATGCTAACTCCTAAAATTGTAAGCCTAAAGGAAAACTTACACAACTAGAAGTTCACCCCAGGGACCAATCTAGTGTTAAGGAAAAGATACTAAAAGCCTAATTTTATAAATTATTCTAATGCTGATAAATAACCAATTTAGTTAAAATAGGTTCCACAGTACCAAACTTATCCAATTCACTTTAGCCGTTATCTTTAAACTAAATGTCAACAATCATGAGAGTGATTATTATTTGGAGTTTATAATGCAGAACCCTCTTTCTCTATTAAAGTGCTCTTGTCTCTCTTTTTATTTCTAAATACATATAAGAAATCAAACTGTTTTGAACTATTTTGAATTATTTGTAGGTTCAACTTTTTATATATGCAAATGAACTCTGTTGGCATGTAGCTTTTTGGAAAATAGGTTCCTAATTCTAAGCCAAGTAAGAGAGGATAGACTGAGAAAAGTAAACTACTAAAAGTAAATTACTCTTAGTATTTCTCTCAGAGGACAGTGTTTATCTCTCTTACCTTTCCTGTCCCGTCCTTCATCAACACATACTGGCAGACTTCCTAGGGCAATGCGGAAATCCAGACAAGAGAAGGAAGCACACTAAAATAATGGAGGACAGGCTACAGGAGATGGACAATGTCAGACATCATGTGGAAGAAAAGAAGGAATTATAGTTAGCCACTTGGTTCAAGAGAAACTAAAAAGGTAGAAAGATTAGAGGGGGGAAAAAAAAAAGATCTTTTACTTCTTTGTAGCAAGGCTCCCTTCAATAAGAACAGAGGAAAAGTTACAGTTAATTTGGAAATTTGTCTTCAGAGAAACAGAGGTAAATTAGCAACTAGTACAAAGAGACAAAAGATAAATAAGATTCTCCAATTTAAAATAATTAATCAAGAGGTAGAATTATAAGCTTTGAGAAAAGAAAAAAAAAAAAAAGGAAATCAGAACTATAATCATAAGCAGTTAAGAAAGTTGTCCTATCTTTCTTCTCCAAGAGCACATAGACTATTAAAAGCAATGGGGCCCTGGCCAGGTGGCTCAATTGGTTAGAGCATCATCCCATATGCTTTGAGGCTTTGGATTTGATTCCTGCTAAGTATACATACCTAGGTTGTGGGTTCGATCCCTGGTTGGGGCTTGCACAGGAGGCGACTGACTGATGTTTCTCTTCCCCTCTCTACCTTTCTCTCTCCAAAAGCTATGGACATATCCAAGGGAGAGGATGAAAAAAAAAGCAATAGGAATTCCAATTCTATATAATAAAGGATAATATGCAAATCGACCGAATGACAGAACAACCGGTCACTATGATGTGCACTGACCACCAGGAAGCAGATGCTCATCGTAGGAGGAGTGCCGCTCAGCCAGAAGTTGGGCTGATGACTGGCAAGCACAGTGGCCGTGGCCATTCGAGGCAGAGCTAAGGATGACTGACTTTGGCCTACTCCCCTAAGCTGTCAGTCGGACATCCCCCGAGGGCTCCCAGACTGTGAAAGGGCACAGGCCGGACTGAACGACGCCCCCAATCCTGTGTGCATGAATGTTGTGTTTATATATAAAAACTAGAGGTCTAATGCACAAAATTTGTGCATGAGTAGGCCTTCCTTCCCCCAGCTGCTGGCACTGGCTTCCTTCTGACCCCCAGGACCTGGGCTTCCCTTGCAGCCCCAGCTTAGACCAGAAGGCCGTCTGGTCTAATTAGCATATTATGCTTTTATTAATATTGATGGTGAATGAGGTATATGCACTTAAGTATTCTTAATTACATGGTCTTATACTATGTAAAAAACAACAATACTGTCACATTTAACCATGAAGTTCTAGAAACAAAACAAAGTAGTCCCAATAAGGAACCTTTTCACATCAGGGACATTCTTCTGTACATATCTGCATGATATGAAACACCTTACCTACTCCTGCCCTAATAACTCTCCCATCTCTCATCACAGTGCTTGAAATACCATCATTGGGAGACAACAGTCCTTCTGATTTAATATAGCCTTTGTAAGTTAGTACTTTTACCCCACCCCACCCAAATGCAAGATCCTAGGAAAAATTGAAGCTATTCACAATAGCAATATGGGTTTGTTTCTTTGATTTTTTGGGGGGTGGTGGAGGGGGTTGTCAAAGGATAGGAAAAGAAGAAAAGAGAATATGGATTCTAAGCAAAACTATTTTACAACTTTGGATACAACCAATTGTTTTGTTAAGAAAACATTATAGGTTAAATCCTCCATATATGTGATTTAGGCATTTATTTGAAATTAATGCTTAATTTCAACAAAAGTCAATTAAAGTCTTAAGATTTCTAAACAAGGTAAGTGATATTTTTGTCAAGCCTATATTTTCTGAGGAGTAAAAGGCAATTTATGTAAGAATTAATTCATTTTTAAATTTAAGTGATTCTATCAATTTTTATAATACCTGAATAGTCTATCCAAATTTGTTAAATAATATACATACCTCATATTCTTTTCTGCAAACTTTGGAAATATCATTTTTCGAAGATGCCTAAATTAAAACAACAAGTTTCTCTATTAATTTTATTACACATTGCTATTCAGCACAGAATAAAACAGGAAAACCTTATGCTCAAATATTTTAAAGTTCCTTATATACAACAAACACATTTCATGCAATTTCTCTTAAAAAAAAAAAACACCAGCCCCATACCCTATTGGACATGCTAGAACTTCACTCTAACCTTTTATGGCTTTAATCTCACATAATAACAGTCTTTTTGTTATTTCAGAAACTAGATAACTTTGAAGGAAATGTAAATCAGAAGACTTTTTTTTTTCCCAGCTGAATTCCACTCTGCAACAAATTTTTTTGTGAAGCTCTGCCAGGATATTTATATTTTGCTTCTTCTTTAACCCTTCATATTATAAGTCCTAATACTGACTTTTCCTCAGGAAAGATCCATATATAACAAAAAGAACATTTAAAGAGGGGATGGCTATGCCTAGAAATTAACAAGTTATTTTTATGTAATTTTCTTAACAAGTTGATGGAGATATTTTCTTTATCTGTAGATAAAGAAACTGATGCTCAGAGAAATAATAAGTTTTTACATAGAAAGTATATACTTTCTATATAAAATAAGCCAAAACAAATCTGCTGAGGGGTGGTTATTCTTCCATATGATATCAGTCCCTATTTAGAGATATTTTAGAGCCATGGCCTCTAGTCCCCTGTTCTATTTCCTCTGTCCTATCACATAAGCTCATGCAATTTTCAATATGCTAGCGAAAAGGACGGGCAGAGCAAGAAGCATAACGAACAGGCTACTGTTTTATGTCCCACTAGATCCATTACAGTTCCAATCTTCTGCAACTCAGCTTCATCCCAAGGCCTGGAGGAGAGCGGCAGATAGCCAGGCTGTATACTGCCCAAAGGGTGCTGCAAGGGTGTGAATGAAAGTGAAGGTGACACTATGTCTCACATACCCCTGTCCAGAGGACAGTCACTAAAGAAGAAAATGAAAGAGGCTTTCCAGCTGTGGTTTCAGGTCCACCTAAACTTCCCAGTTAAGTCTACTCCCACCACTTGGAGTCTCAGGAACGAGACTAGTTTTCTGACAACACTCTGAGAAACCACTATGAAAATAAACATAATGCGGAATAACTTAGGGGCCTAACCTGAACTTGACTAGAGATATACATAAAATAAAAAAGAAGTCATAATTCACTGTAGGAGTCATGCTCACCTTAGGAGCTGAGAAGGGATATAAGAACATGCTCAGGGAAAACCCAGGATGAAAGACAGAAGGGAAGATGAAAGCAAAACAAGACAACTGTATCAATGCTCTTACCCAGGCATAGCCCAAGTTCACATGACCATTTGGAATCATTCAGCACTGACTAAACATGACCATAGGCAAAGTACAAAAGACCTCAATTCCTACAATATTCATTTTTAAAGTAACTTTTATTTTTCAATTACAGTTGACATGCAACAGTATATTAGTTTCAAGTATACAACATAGTGATTAGATATTTATATAACTTATGAATATTATTTCTTTGTGTAGCAGAGAAGTTGAAAAAGAATAAGAGAGGGTTGGGGTCTTATATGCAGCAGCCATAACTGAAAAAGCAGCGAGTCTAAAGGGAAGGGTTCTCTGCAAGAAATACTAAATTTTCAGCTTTTATAGATCACCTCTCCAAAGGTCTGAGGTGAGCAAGGTTCAAGACACATGCACAACTATAACCCAAACTGCACTCCATGCTTTTCAAGAGCCTGATTGCTCAGTATTACCTGTTTGCAAGCCTGTCGACACTCCAAAGTAATAGCCAGTTCACAGCAGCCTAAGCCAACCCAGCCATCAGATTTCTTAAACACACCTTAAAAATAAAACGTTCATAAGCAGTGACAAATATAAATAGCATGTCAAACTGGTTTGTGGATACCACTAAAAATCAAAGTGTTTACAGAGAAACTAGCTCAGACAAAAGAGCCTCAAAATTAGTAAGCCTCTCCCCTCAGCCTTATTCCCAATGCTATCAGTCTTTTGAGGTACCTCACAGCATAATTATCAGGTCCTTTGTTTTTTTCTCATCTCCCTGCTCACCCTATACCTTCTAGGTCATTCTCATTCTTGGGTAGTCAGCATCTTTAGAGGACATATAGGTTATTGCTGTTTCCACATACCCAGTGGCCTTTTAGAAAATATTAAATTATTTGACAAGCATTTATATCTACTGAGCCTCTCCTATGTACAAGGCACTCTATTAGATATTTTGTGAACTATGAAATAGATAAAATATATGATTTATTCCATTGTAAAAATCGCAGCTTGGTAAAAATAATTTACATATATATAATTATATATATAAATATAATTATAATTCCAGGACATTAGAAGGATAATTAGGAAGACAAGTAGGAATGTGGCAAATTCCAGGAAGACAAATGTTTGAAATGCAAATTTCACACTGTATGACAGCCTTAAAAGTTCAGAGATACATAAGGTTTATTCCCGTGTTTCAAGGCACCAGCTTGAAGTAAGACTGGAAAGTAAGCTTTAATCCTAGGATACCATGAATGCAAGGCTAGGGAGTTTTATTTCAATGGAAACAGAAACCCGTGAGGGATTTTTTTAAAGACTCAGGAGGACAGCTGTGATGTGTTGAAATACCAGTTACAATTTTATTACAATATTCTATCCCAAGGATGTAATAAGAAAGGCTTGCCCAGCTGACGTCGCTCAATTGTTGAGCTTTGACCTATGAACCAGGAGGTCTCTGGTTCGATTCCCAGTCAGGATATATGCCCAGTTGTGGGCTCGATCCCAGTGTGGAGCCTCTAAGAGGCAAGCCAATCATGATTCTCTCTCATCATTGATGTTTCTCTCTCTCCCTCTCCTTCTCCCCTTCCTCTCTGAAATGAATAAAAACATATTAAAAAAGATGTAAGGCTTGAACTACGAGTAGTGAAGACAGATGCAAGATTTTATAAGCGGACAGCCAATGGAGCTAGAAAGAAAAAGCAGCCAAAGGTAACTTGGTTTCCAGGAGTATCATTCACAAGAGAGACAATCATAAAATGAGTTTGGTTTTGGATTTGCACTTCAGATACCACCTAGATGCAGAGATCCAAGTAGAGATGTCTAGAAGTCACAACCAATTGACTAGGATTTGAAAGTTACCTTCCCAGAGCTCATTAGTTAGCAGAGTGAGTGTGGGAGAGAATGGAAGAGGACTGCATTGGTGGGCAGTGGTGGGAAGTCCTGGGGCAATGGTGGGAAGTTAAGAGGAGAAAGGTAAGAAAGGGTAAGATACAGCCCCAAGGAGGTAAGTGGTCAATAATATCAAATGTCACAGAAAAATCAAAGAGAGTAAGTACCGAGAAAAAGCTATAAAGATTTACGAACTAAGATCCTGGTGATATTTCAAAAACCAGTTCTACCAATAGAATGGTAGAAGTAGAGACAAGAATACAGTTAAGTATTGAGTGAATGAGAAGAAAGTATACATTTGAAAATTTGAGTGCGTATGAGAAAGAGAAGATAGAAACTCAGGGTATACATTAAGTTATAGGTCTATGACACAGATTTTACAATCACAGTACGTTTTTAAAAGTAAGTGCTAAATGTTACACTTCTATTACTTACCTGGCAAAGATGAATTCATACAACTCCAAATTTCAACCTAAAATTGTAATCACCAAAAGGCTTTTATGTAGATAACCAGTTACTGAATACAACACTTAATTTCTACAGAGAATATGTACAGCTGATTTTATTTCTTTTATGTCTATAACAGTCAATGTTCCAGTACTATACGAGTATCAACCAGCTATATTTATGGGGGAAAAATAAAACAGATACAAAATATTGCTTGCTCTTTTCCCATCTTCCCATCTAAGTGCACTGAGGATTAGTCTAGTTACTCAAGCTGCTTATTGGAATCACGTTTCTAAGTACAAAGACAAAAGTATAGAGTAACTAAATGAAAATGTATCAATCAGAATTGTGTGATCTCCATCTCCCGCGTCACATAACTCAAGCTACTGTATCGTATCTAAAGAGACTCATTCTTGGCAAGCTCAGATTTTTTTAGCCTGGTTTATGAGCATCTCAAACACTGAGGATGATGACCCAAGCATTAGAGACATTTTAAGTTACATGATTCAGACAGGCAAGCAATACATCTACTGTATACCAGAAAATGGGAAGACAGGAATAATGAAAAATCATACATTTCCCTCATCACAAATACAACTTTTCAAAGTCAAAATAAATATAAAATTTAGTTAATATAGTTTTCATTAAATTGTCAAAATATAGTAAGTGCAATTCCAAATTCCAGATAAACTATTATAATGAAATTTAAAGACTACATTTGTATTTAATATTATTTTTCATATATCAGAGAATAAACAATAAAAATAAAATATATTTTATCTAGCAATTTGTGTGAAGATCTTTTTAAAGTACCTAGATAAATCTAACATTTTACTTTGACCACAAACCTTCTTCACATTGAAAATTTTGCTGAATCTAAAGAGAACTCATTAGATAAGTTCATTTAGACAAAAGCTTCCTTAGTTAAGTTAAACAAGACCTACCATTGTTTCAGGGCAATAATCTGGGGCTCGCTGCAACAGATGTTTTAGTCGGGATTCACTTTTTGAGGAGAATATCTATTTGACAAAAGAAAAAAGATTTGTGGCATTTTTTTCATAAGAAGTAGTAAAATGTATTATCTTCTGGATTTATCTTCCTCTGGATTTATCGTCTAGAATATCTTCCTCTTATAAATGAAAAACCTTTGAAAGGATCTCCATTAAAATGAGATTTCTTAAAATAACCAAGAAAATGCAAATATAGCAATTCTAGACCCTATTTCCTAAATTCAAAATCTAAAGTTTTAATTCCAAGTTTCCAACTGTCTTCACACAGCGGTTTTCACTGATAATTTAGCAACTCACCTTCCCCCACAAACCAAAATGTTCTCAACCTCCCCAAACCGTCAGGGATAATACCATTCACTCCAACTTAAAATCTAAATGTCATCAAGACTCCATCCTTTCTTCATTCTCTACTGAAGAAATAATTATTCCTTCCTCCAGGTATTTCCTTTCATTCTGAGTAAGCTCTGCTAGTTTTAGCAGCCTGGCTTCTCTCCCCGTGGCTCACTCATGCACACCTTCAAGTGATTGTGAAGACTGACTAGCTGACTCACTTACCCGACTGTTGAGTTTGGTAGGAGAAAGTGAGTGTATGTAACCCAGACCTTACTTCTCCTCATCTGGAAGTAAATCTAATTCTGCAGTTTAGTGTGTACCTAGAGATAAAAGTTACATTTAACATTTGTGTAACTAGTAATAAGAGTAATATCTAGGGTCCAATTTGCCTTATTTCTTTGCCTAATTTCTCAATTAAAGTGAAAGTAGGTCAGGGAAGAATGTTCTGTATTAGGGTAACTATAGTATTCATTTAGTTTACTAAGTTATAGGATTTCTAACATTTCTGAGTTTAAGAAATTAGAATTTGCCTGTTGCAGGTGACTTATAAAAATCATTCACCCTATTAGAACACCTAGTGGAAAAAACAACAAGAAGAAGAAACAAAGCAAAAAGTCAAAAAAGCAGTGTTTTCAAAGTAACAGAGCTTCTTTAAAAACTCCCTTATGGTGACAGCATCAAAGAACCATTTTTGCTTTTAAAAGCTATTTTTCTGGCAATAAGTTTGTAGAAAACAATCTGCTGTAGTGTTTTGACATGAATTCTGAGGCAGCTATTTAGATAAGCCAAGTCACAGTCTTGTTTTATAATTAGGAAGTATCTTGCAAAATCTCTCTAAATTCACAATATTGTTTGAGAGTACTTTTAATCCCAGTTAGATAGCTTTCTTTTAGGCAGTGACAAAATTCAGATAATTACTTGAGAACTCAAAAAGATGATTGAAGCCATTACTTTTCAAGCACTAAGGCTAGAACTACACAACCAAGATGATGAAAGAAAGGGAAGACTTTAAGACTTTAGGTATTGTTTCAGTAGAACTTGCCTGAAAAGGCTCAACAAAAAAAATTAAAACCTATAGAAAAGTTTCAAAACTGGTACAGTGAACATCCAGTCTTCATCTAGATTGGCCCACTATTTTGCAACATATGGTTTAACTTTCTGCATAAACACATATTATTATTGCTATTATTTTCATAAAACATTTTAGAATTCATTGCAGACACATTATTCATTCCTAAATTCCAGCATGTATCCCTTAAGAACAAGGACACCATCCTACCTGGCCACAATACAATCACCAAATTCAGGATCAGAGCAAGCATTGATCCAATATTATTACAGTCTGTGTTCAAATTTTATAAATTTATCCCAATAATGTTCTTTTAATTCCAGGATCCAATCCAGGAACATGCATTGCATTCAGTTATGTAACTATAAACAATTACATAACTAATACCCTCTAGAATTATTATGTAAACTTACCTGTTCACAAACATCATGGCACATTTGATTATCCTTGGAATGATCACAACACAATGCACCTAGGAAGAAAAAAATAAATACCCAAAGTTGCCCACTTTAAATAAACAAGATATTTAAGTTAAATTGAATGGTTACAACAAACAATTTATTCAATCCGTTACTATTTTTCATTTTAATTCAACAAAACTTTACTGTGTATCTAGCAGAAGCCAAGGACAGTGCTTGGTTGGTTCTTGCCCTCAAAAAACTTGTAGTCTCTTGCCAAAACTGGTTTGGCTCAGTGGATAGAGCATTGGCCTGTGAACTGAAGGGTTCCAGGTTCGATTCCGATCAAGGGCATGTTACCTTGGTTGCGGGCACACCCCCAGTAGAGGGTGTGCAAGAGGCAACTGATTGATGTTTCTCTCTCATCAATGTTTCTAACTCTATTCCTCTCCGTAAAAAATCAAGTAAATATATTTTAAAAAAACAAACTTGTAGTCTCATAGGGAAACTGTCATGTAATAATAGCTAATGTACTGTGTACTTTCCATGTGCCAGAATTTTACTAAGTTTGCTTTATGCAGTATCTTATTCAATGCTTACAATTGCCCTGTGGACTCTATTCTATTACTATACTTATAATGTAGGTTAAATTAAAAAGAAAAAAAGAGTGGCTTTTGTTTTGGACATGTTAAATTTAAGGTTCCTATAGGATATCCAGATAGAAATTTCAGTAAAGTCAGAAATCCAAGTCCGGATTGCAGGTAAAGCCAAGTCTAAAGATCCAAATTTGGAAACAGCATAAAGAAGGTATATAGAAATTAGTGACATTGCCTATGGAGAGTTTCTAGTGAGAAGTGAACACAGCATCAAATCCTAAAGAACAGCAATATCTGAGACATGGGAAGAAACAAATTCAGAGATTGAAATGGAACAGTTAGAACGGTAGCAAGTAAGTGGCATCACAGAAGAGGGAGTAACTAGTGGCATACACCAGAACAGTCAGGTGAGATTGGAGACAAAAAAAAAAGAAACGGGTTTACTAATTATGAGGCCACTTAGTGACCTCAATGTACTCTCTGTGGACTTGGTAGAAGTGAATGATATTAAGAAGTAAACCAGAAATGAGAAGTATAAACAGCAAATAAAGTTAGCACTCGAGAAGTCTAGCAGTAATGGAAGGCAAAAAGAGAGTGGTAGTTATACATGGATGCAGGATCAAGGGAAGATTTTCCCATTTTTTTAGAGTGGCCTTTGTCCATGGTTCTAGGGAACTCTAAACCTCTGGAATTTCCTGAGTAATAGGAATGCCTCTGTTATGTTTATGAAGTGACCCAAGGTCTCACCTGGATATCTTCAGGTACAGAAAGGTCAGCCACATGATAAGAGAGTTGCTTTGATTCTCAGGATATCAACTCAATCTCTCAACCTCCAGCAGAATAGGGGAACTAAAGATTGAGTTCAACCACATGGCAATAATTCAACTAATCATCTATGTGACGGAATCCTAATAAAATCTCTAGATACCAAAGCTCAGTGAACCTCTCCTGGCTGGTGAAGACACTGATGTGCCAGGAGGATGATGCACACTGATTCTATGAGGAAAGGACACAGAAGCTCTGCATTTCCTCCCAGATTTGACCATGAATGTTTCTTCATTTGATTGGTCCTCCTAATTTGTATCCTTTATAATAAAACTGTAATCATAATCAGAGTACTTCCTTGACTTCTACAAATCATTGCAGTGAATTATTCATTCTGAGGGTGTCATGGTAAATCTGGATTTATAGCCAGCTGGTCAGAAGTGTGGGTGACCTGAGGACCCCCAAAGTGTGGCTGGTGTCTGAAATAAGAGCAGTCTTGTTGAGACTCGTGCCCTTTAACTTGTATGGTCTGTTCTAACTGTGGGTGATCAGTGCATAATTGAATTGCTGTATACCCAGTTGCTATATACCCAGCATATAGGATGTGGGTTGTATTTGGACGAGGGATACAGTAATGAATAAATATTATGCTCTCTGGTGACACTCTGATGGTAGAGCAATGTGTAGACAAGAGGAAAGGATGAAAGGGCACTCATAAATCAAGAGGGAAATTGACAGCCTCCATTTTGTCAGTGAAATAGTGAATAGTTCTAAAAAACAAAAAGGGTTGAGATGGGGTTGTTCTTCACAGCCACTCCGAAGAACAGGGAAATAAGGTATATAAATGTTTCTCAAACTTGTGTTCTATTAAACACTGTTTCATGAGTTGTTATTATCTATCCCTCAAGAGAAAAAGTTCCGTATACAAATAAATTTGGGAATGATAAAGAGAATTCTTCACTACAGGACTTCACGAATACTTTAAAATGCTAATATTCATCATTAATTTCCTAAAAAGGGATATAAGTAGACTGATTTCTCATAGCACAGACTTTTTTGATGCCACTTACTAACATTTCAGAGTGTCAATTTGAGAAATATCAAATTAAAGAAAAGAAAAATGTTGCCGAACAGCATTATGGGCCCAGAGAAATTCATAAATTGACTATAGAGATAATCAGGAGGGGCATGTTACTATTCTAGAGCAGTGATTTTCAACCTTCTTCATCTAATAGCATACATAAACTAATTAAAATCCTGTGGCACACCAAAAATATATATTTTGCTGACCTGAAAAAAAAGGCACAATTTTTTTTTTTTTTTTTTTTAAATCAATCTTTATTGTTCATATTATTACAAAGGTTCCTCATTTCTTCCCCCCTCCACCAGGTTCCCACCCCACCCTCCGTCCCCCCCCCATCCCCCATTGTCCTCATCCATAGGTGCAGTTTATGTTCAGTCTCTTCTTCCCTCAATTTCCCCAATAGTAAATCCCTTTTCAGATAGTAAATCAGTTACTTAGCATTTTCTCATATCAATAATACCTCCACATGCCCAATGATACACTTCACACAAAAGACATTTCCCACTAGGTCAACCAGCCTCATCCAGGCCCCACCCAAGGCACTCACAGATCAACACCCCAGTCCTAAACTAACTCAACACATCCAGATCTAAGCCTTCATCACTTGATTCAGCAGACCCTCAAGTTCCCACGAAAGTTTCCAGCCATGTCTGAGAAGCAGCCGTGGGGCAGGGGCAGGCAGGGAGCGAGCTGTTCTGGGCCTGGCTGCTCAGGGCCTGGCCTCTGTTGCTCTGGTTCATTCCACAACCAGCTGCTCTGGGTTTGGTCACTGCCGCTCCCGACCTAGTTGCTCTGGACTTGGCTGCTGCTGCTCCGGGCCTGGCCGCTCCCAGCCTGGCAGCCGCTGCTCCGGGCCTGGCCGCACCCGACCCGCCTGCTCCCCCGGGCCTGGCCGCTCCCAGCCTGGCAGCCGCTGCTCCGGGCCTGGCCGCACCCGACCCGCCTGCTCCCCCGGGCCTGGCCGCTCCCAGCCTGGCAGCCGCTGCTCCGGGCCTGGCCGCACCCGACCCGCCTGCTCCCCCGGGCCTGGCCGCTCCCAGCCTGGCAGCCGCTGCTCCGGGCCTGGCCGCACCCGACCCGCCTGCTCCCCCGGGCCTGGCCGCTCCCAGCCTGGCAGCCGCTGCTCCGGGCCTGGCCGCACCAGTCCCGCCTGCTCCCCCGGGCCTGGCCGCTCCCAGCCTGGCAGCCGCTGCTCCGGGCCTGGCCGCACCAGCCCCGCCTGCTCCCCCGGGCCTGGCCGCTCCCAGCCTGGCAGCCGCTGCTCCGGGCCTGGCCGCACCCGACCCGCCTGCTCCCCCGGGCCTGGCCGCTCCCAGCCTGGCAGCCGCTGCTCCGGGCCTGGCCGCACCCGACCCGCCTGCTCCCCCGGGCCTGGCCGCTCCCAGCCTGGCAGCCGCTGCTCCGGGCCTGGCCGCACCAGCCCCGCCTGCTCCCCCGGGCCTGGCCGCTCCCAGCCTGGCAGCCGCTGCTCCGGGCCTGGCCGCACCCGACCCGCCTGCTCCCCCGGGCCTGGCCGCTCCCAGCCTGGCAGCCGCTGCTCCGGGCCTGGCCGCACCAGCCCCGCCTGCTCCCCCGGGCCTGGCCGCTCCCAGCCTGGCAGCCGCTGCTCCGGGCCTGGCCGCACCCGACCCGCCTGCTCCCCCGGGCCTGGCCGCTCCCAGCCTGGCAGCCGCTGCTCCGGGCCTGGCCGCACCAGCCCCGCCTGCTCCCCCGGGCCTGGCCGCTCCCAGCCTGGCAGCCGCTGCTCCGGGCCTGGCCGCACCAGCCCCGCCTGCTCCCCCGGGCCTGGCCGCTCCCAGCCTGGCAGCCGCTGCTCCGGGCCTGGCCGCACCCGACCCGCCTGCTCCCCCGGGCCTGGCCGCTCCCAGCCTGGCAGCCGCTGCTCCGGGCCTGGCCGCACCCGACCCGCCTGCTCCCCCGGGCCTGGCCGCTCCCAGCCTGGCAGCCGCTGCTCCGGGCCTGGCCACACCTGACCTGACTGCTCTGGGCCCGGCTGCCCCGGGCCCGGCCGCTCCGAGCCTGGCCACTCCCGACCTGGATGCTCTGGGCTTGGCTACTGCTGTTCTGGGTCTGGCTGCTCCCATCCCGGCTGCTCTGGGCCCGGCTTCTTCGGGCCCAGCCACTCCGGGTCTGGGTGTTCCTAGACTGGCCACCCTGGGCTTGGCCGCCTCCGCCTCATGCCTGGCTGCCACTGCCCCAGGTCTGGCTACTCCAGTGCTGGCTGTTGATGCTCTGGTTCTGGCTGCTGTTGTTCTGGGGCCTGGACGTTGCTGCTCCGGGCCTGGCTGAAAAAGGCACAATTTATTAAAGATTTAAAAATTGATTATTAGAGAGAGAGGAAAAGGGAGAGAGAAATATCAATGTGAGAGAAACATCAATCAGCTGCCTCCTGCATGCCCCCTACGAAGAATGGAGCCCACAACTCAGACATTTGCTCTGACTAGGAATCTAACTGGCAGTCCTTCTGGCAACCCTTCCGTGCACAGGATAATGCCCATCCAACTGAACCACACAGGCCAGGGTGGCATAATTTTGATTCATTCACAGTAGACAACTATTGTGTTAACTGTTGTCATTTTTTAATTTGACAATCTAAGGGAAAAGAGGTCAGTGCCCTGACTAAATAGTC